TTTTTCATATTGCAACTTTGGAGCTTTATAACTCGAAAAGTACTGAATGAAGAAACATTTCATTAGAATGTTTTGGAAAGCTCTCGTGGTCAGCTACAAGAATATGTAATAAAAAATAGGGGATGCCGTTTAAAAAAATTGAGGTGACTTTCATGTGACTTTCAAATAATTCTTCAAGGTCAAAGCAATGGTACCATCTTATGGTCCCCTCGAAACCAAACAACTTTTGTCTGAAAAATTTTTCTCTCCCGTGCTTGGTTTTCGACATATTCGACTGGATGGATTAAAATGGTCCACCCTGTGTGTGTGTGTGTGTGTGTGTGTGTGTGTGTGTGTGCACAGGGTGTCCCGAAACTATCGGATGTTATTTTAATGACAGATTCTTCAGAACATTTTAAACGAAAACTTTCATACAAAAATGTCGTGGCTATAATAGTTTTCAAACGGGAAGCGATTATATTTCACCAATAACAGGGCTGAGATTTCGCGCGCTCAGGCACGTGGAAATGACAAGTGATAAAGTTGCTCCTATGAATGTCACTTTTTTTACGATATTCATGATTATTGTATAAATTTACAATAACTTTGTCATAATACACGATCACTAGTTCATTCACCATCCTGTGTTCAAGGTGCATTTATCATAGTCTTGTAGCTAATGTTCAATATTCCCACCATCTTCTTTTTTCGAAAGCTCATTCGTGTTATCATTGATATTACCATATTTGAAAACTATTATAGCCTCGACATTTTTGTATGGAAGTTTTCGTTTTAAAATGTTCTAAAGAATCTGCCATTAAAATAACATCCGGTAGTTTCGGGACACTCTATATAATTCTTTGGAAATAATTAAAATATATCCTTATGTATAGGTGTATGTATATCTTTGGACCACGTGATATAATTGCATATGTACAAAATTGCGTAGACAGAAAATCATACTAGAAAATTTTATCGAGATTACGCCTGTTCTACAAAGCATGTTTCCATTATTTGCAAAGGTCGGTTGATCTCGATAAGTGCGGTCAAAGAGAAAGAAGAGTAAAATAAACGCGTACGCTTTTATTTTTATAAGCTGAAACGCGAACTGTTAGGTAAAACTAAAATGCTTAATAATAAATATAAATAAGCGGTAGGAACACACATCTCAATAATTGTTTCCTAGACATAATTTCGAATTCGCAATAACTGAACAGCTGTGCTAAAAGTGATCCTTTTTCTATGATCCCTCGGTGTGAGCGGTGGTTGTTGACGTTATAACCGAGGCAAGATCGCTGCTGGATTGACTAGTGATTGGTTCTAGTGGTGGCACGCTGGAAAGAAGAAGAAGAAGAGAAAATTAATTAAAATTGATAAGTATGCATCTAAAAATTGGAAAATATTTTGCAAGCTCCTTTCATTTTACAACGCATCCCTCGTCTTGGATGCAAAGACTATTCCAATACCCCTTTAATCTGAGATCGCTCATCGCATTCCTCATATCTACCATCAGATAAGCGTCTAATGATCTCAGATTCTTTTATAATAATAACGCGACTAATAAACTACATACTCTCATATCGTCATGAATACAAGTGTTTTACGAGTGCAACTTTTTCAGTTTGCGCGTCGTAGTAAGGTGATAGAATCAACGCTGAACATGGTGGCGGAGTCTAAGGCGCGAGTCGCGACGTAACTGGAAGTCAGACGTGAGTGGTCCCGGATCAAACGGGTCAGGCGCTCCGGATTCGCAGAGATCAGAGGTCAGAGATCACAGATCAGAAGTGAGTCAGGTGTGAACTTACGTAAGGGTGGTTTGGCGATTCAACACGGCGGCGGTAGGTAATGCGAGGGGCGAGTGTGCATGCCCTAATTGTGTTCCAGACGGTGTACCTACAGGAAGACAATGCTCTTCGACCCCTCCACCACCCCCACCCCCGCAAGCATACACGTTCAACTGCAACGAGTCCACTGGAACGTCAACAAAAAAAGGGCGACATCGGTCACGATTACTCTGAGCCGCAATACCGTATGCTGATTATATGTGTGTGTGTGTTTTGTGTATGCTGCCGGTGCACCCTTAACTTCTCTTTAATATATGCGCGCGATTTAATTGACAATATCGGCAACTCTCTAAATTTCTTGGGGTGAGATTTCACTCAAAAAGTGGAGTGATCACCGAGTCACTCGAATCCGAGTGATTGTTCACTCTAAATCGTCGAGTGAACATCTTCACTCGAAATTGGAGAGTATATTCCATTGTCACAGGCGCATAGATCTGTATTAATAGTTGTTACTTGAAAATGGTTTCAAATAGGATATTCAGATTTGAGCTTAAAGTTAGATAAGTGTTTCTCAATTGAACTGCGATCACACATACATAGAATGATACATGTGACACAAAGAACATGTATACATATATTGAATATACGCGTATATTCTATATCTTGAAAATTTAAATATTCGCGTTTGAAGACCCAAACAATAAGAATGTCCATGATTAGACACGTGTCCAGGTATTGATACTTTTACCTCCGAATCGCGAAGCTTTTCGATTGTACGCGAACATCATACCGTTATCTTGACGAACATTCATGCTGCGCGGTCTGTCGACCCCCGATCGGGCCTCGCGATCTTTATTTTGCATTTCGAAGTGTCCCAAGATCTCAGGCGCGATTCCCCAGGGAGATAAAACGCGACCAAGCGTGCTCGAGTGCGGGGAAATTCGTGAATCGCTTCGTCATCCTCGACGTTGCGCGTGTCCGGCGACAAGCGCGGAGGGATATTATATCGACCACGTAGTTGCCGGAGGTAGCTCCGTTCGCGTTCCACCGTCCTCTCCTCGCGTGTCTCCCCTTGATGCGGCTGTTCTCGGGTTAAACCCCGCCGAGGAGAAGTATCCGTCGCTCGCTATCGGAGCACATCCCACGCTTCTGACCAATCCGAGGCACTATCGGCCGTCGTGTGTACTCTCGTCGGACCTTCCCTGAACCCCCCTTCGTGCTGCCGCATGTAGCGAGCGATCGTGTGTACTTAGTCGGCCATCGCGATTGACAACGACCGACCGACCGACCGTCCGTCCGTTCGACCGACCAGACGAGGGACGGGGATTAGTGGCCCCGGCGATTGCGGTTGTTCGAAGGACGATATGTGTGCCGTGCAAACCACCGTCGCTTATTATTATATATACATATCGATGATAATAGCCGGTGAGGGCGATTTAGGATGCGCCTGTTTGAATTGCCGATTTTAGCCGGTAGCGTTCTGAATTGCTTCATTCGCGAAAAACTCGTGAGAATCCTGCTTGTGTGATTTCCCTTTTTCTCTTTCTGTCGCGCGCGCTGCATTTTCTCGAGTGCGTGACCTCCCCCTCCCTCCCCCGCGGCCTGTAGGTACACCTAATCGAATTAACTAAACGTCTAAGTTAACCCGGGAGTAGACGCGCCCTCGATCATTTTCCCGCGTTCATTCGTTTTTCTAATCACATCTATCAATTTGTTGATTACCATTTCATACTTTATCTTTCACATGACTTTCTCTCAATGTTCTTCTCTTGCATAGCACGAAAAGAGTAGAACCTAACCTGTTTGTATTGCCCTGTGAACGTGTGTACTTTTGCACGAACACATATCTGACACACACGTCGGAATTTTAATTTTATAAACATTATTTACTTGTATAAATTTTAACATGCACACGTAATCCTTATTATTGCGTTTTGCTAATATATTTTATCAGTAAATTTGTATTCGCCTGATGAAAGTAAACGTTTAAAAGAGGAGCGTGGAGAAGCAAAGAAGCGATATTAATCAAATATATAATAAAATCCTTTCTGTGGATCCATTGTGACACTCTAAATCATTGCATTATTTTCTATCAATTTTGATAATTTGTTATAATACATATTCGTGCCGATACGTAGTGCGGTAAAAAAGACCGGGACGTGTCTATTCCCGGGTTTAATGAGGGTGCCGCAGTGTACAAAGATGGACGAATATACAGGGAATATAATCAAAGAAAAGAATGTGGGAAGAATGACTAATTTATTTTCTCTTCTTTAACACATTGACTGCCAGATATGAGTGATGTGTCGTAGCTGGCGGGAATTTTCTATTCCATGTGAATTAAGATCTTTTGCGAGAATAAATTTTTATTGTGAGTGTTTTCGATTGACACACACATTGACTAGTACATCAGAGGAATACTATGCTGATTTTTTTTAAGCGATGTCGGGAACAAAGTTCCCCAACGTCTGTGACAGTCAACATGTTTAATGTCTTGATCATTCTTCAACGGTTGATATTTGAAACTATCTATAACAAGAAATTGTAAATCTCTGTAGTGAGGGATTTTATATCTTCTGAACAATAAAGATGCCCTGTATATCCGTTAAGACAAAATGAAAACTGATGTAATGGCGTTAATTTAAATAAACTGTAACATAGACTTGCTCACCGAAGACTCACCGAGTAGATTGGGCTTGATATCGGCCTTGTGTAAACCAGTGGTCGCAGGTAGACTACCGCCAATCGTGTGAGTCTTTGGTTTCCTTTTGCGTGTCTGTATTCCATCCTTCTTCATGCTCAGAGGCCTGTTCATCTGCTCGTATAAAGAAAATCGATTAACAAATCTCGTGTCATTCATAATTTGTATTTTTCTTGAATTTTGATTCTATTTTGCTCGCGCATGTTGTGCGAGGTAGAAAATGAAAAAAAAAAATTATACATCTTTAGTTCAAGAGACGTATTCTAATTTTTATAAATTAATAGTATGAAATATATATGAAAATAAGGAAAAATACATTTTTAATACAATTTCTTATTTTTATGTTTCGTACTGTCAAAAAAACTAAGAAATTCCCGTTGAATGTTATACTTAAAAAGCGACTTTTAACACTCTTAAAATAAAATTGTCACAAAAAATAGAATTCGAGAGGTATATCCTTCTTCAGGAGATTTAGTTGTATATTCACAAATTCTTAGACACCGATATACAATAAATATAATATCTAGAGCCTTTCGTTCTAAGATATGATGTAATTTCTGGTAAAGAGCTTTTTGCTCTGCCTGAATCGTAATAAAGCATAAGTCTAGGTTAAGACTTCAGATAGCATAAAAAACACTTCTTGTTGAATATTATGTCTTCTTTTAGAGCTAACAAAGAGACGACCAGAAGTAGAAACGCATTTTTGGGATGCGGTTTGTTTCAAATGGCAATTGTTTATGTCCTTTATGATGTTATATTAAAAATTCCAAATTCTAGCTTCAGACATTTCTTACTTTGTTTACTAATTGAAAAAATTTACTATATCTAGATTGTGTCTGCTATACAAATAGAAAAATAGGTCATAGTCCAAGTATCTCTTTATTTTTCTACTTCAGTTTACAATGCCAGGAAGTTCTTTAGCTTATGTTCTTTAGTTTAACATTTTTACTTATATGTATAGGTAGTTTTACTTATACCTTATCCTTATTTAACATTTTTTAATAATTTTATTTCCCTTTTCTCTTTTCCTTTTCATTTATCCTATTTATCCTATTTATTTATCCTATTTATCCTATTTATTTATCCTATTTATCCTATTTATTTCTTAACCTACTCCTTTTTCCTTTTTTCCTTTTTTACTTTCTTATCCTAGATATTTCTTAACCTATGTACTTTGGCAAATCCCATCATGTGAATTTCTTATTCTTGGATTTCTTACATAGTCGAAGTAGAAAAATAGATTCTACTAAACAGCAGGAAAGTAGCTTTTAAACAAACGATTTTAGACGAAATTACTGTAGACAAGAATTTACGGATTAGCCCGATTAGGTGATCGTCGTCGTGTCCGAAGTTCCGCATTCACGATCGGGGGATTAAAAGTGGAAAAAGCCAGACGCGACAAACATTTCCGCCGATCGATCCGCAGTGCGGTCGCATCGTCGATCCCTGCTTTAATTAAATTTGTTGTCACGATCGTGTGCACAGATCCCGCGATAAACCGCGGCTCCTCGTCAGCGGGGATTGCCGAGACGGGGCTGTCTCACGTGCGTAAAAACAATCAAGTCGCCGTTATCACAGCCGATGATCGCAAAAAGGCCCGATAAAGACGCGTTGACCAGTCGTTGTGAGATTAATGTTAATTAAAAATGATTTACTCCGCCGCTCTCTCGGCCTTTTTATATCACGGGACTGGGAGACATTGTGTGGCGGTTTCCCAGAACATTCTTGCGATATACCGCGCGCGACGTACGTGGAGGAAAGTCCGCATCTGAGAATTAAATTTCATACGAGGACAATTAGCAACGAGCTAATTGTCTCTAACTGCACTATTAAGCTGCAACTTCCTTCCTGTTATTTGGTAGTATGAATCTTTGTGATAATGTCAAGATGGATGTAGCTTCCTTGAATATAAATTTATATGCGGAAAGAATATTATATATTATTATTTCTTCATACGAATTCTTTTCAATTTTACTATGATTTTGGTAAAGAGTCTCCGTAGACGTCTCTCCGTGTAAATATAATTTTTTCAGACTTACATTGTGTAATTTGAAGTAAAGGCCGCAGGCGTTGCAGACCGGCTCGCCGCTGTTGTTTCGTCTCCAGAGCGTGGTGTTGCTCGTCTTGCAATTTGCGCACTGCACCCCCGTTCTTCGTACGCCCGTCTGCAACACAAGGAAGGTTCTAATTTCACATGAATAATACGTGAAGAGAATCGAGATCGACGCAAAGTGACGACCACAAAAACAAAAAGAAAAATATCTTCTTCTCTTTCGAGAGGAGAAGTGCTCTTCTCTTTCACGATTACTTCGCGAATAATTGCATTTACTTGCAAAGTTTTGAGCGTTGATTTCTGAAAAATATTGTACTCGCGAGTAAAACGCGAAAACGTGCAGGAATTCGAGAGGTGCGACGATCATCGGTGACTTAGAGTGACTCAGAGTGAATCTTCGATGCGCATTCTTCATTATCTAACGAAACTGTAGAATTAAATCACGCATTTCGCGAGAGCGAGAGCGAAAGAGAGAGAGAGAGATCCCGCGTATCATACCAAGCAATTTACATTTGAACTGCTCCGCGGAGCCGCTCACGAGAGGATCGTCGCATCGCGCTCTGCAGCTGTCGACGACGACGACGTAGACGAGGATGACGGGACGACGTTTGAGAAATCAAGACTACGAAAATGGGAGTGCTCGGAGCAAGGAAACTAGAGCAAACAACAGCCGCCAGCGAGTCCCGTAGTGATTATTTGCTCGGCAAGAGATAACGTGGCTCTTCCCTCTGTCTTTCGCGGAGGAGGAAAACGGGGAAGAGAGAGGGGGAAAGAGAGATGAAAAAAGAGAGAGAAGGAGAGGGCGCGAGAATGTTACTTAATATCGAAGCCATGTTGTATGTTCCTCGGGTGAGAAGTTTATCAGGGCAAATATCGGTGGCCTCGTTTCGGCGATGGTCAAACGGATTTTGTCGACGGCTTTGGATGTATATAAGAATAAGAAGATACATTAGAGGAAGGTGGTATGCGACACATTAAATACCTGAAGAGAGAAAAGAGATCCAACCAACCAACAAAAGAGAAACGACCGACTGAAATTATGCAAGGAAGATTTACAATAATCGTGATTCGCACAATGTTTACCGGCGTAACCGACTGCTTCGGTTTCGGACATCTCATCGGTGGCCTGTTGATTCCATTCATCTTGCTGTAAAGTCCACAGGCGTTGCACAGGTAATGACCGGTGCCATCTCGTCGCCACAACGGCGTCAAATTCGCCGCACAATTGACACATTCCTTTGGATCGGACGTTATGACGGCACCATCGAATGCCTCATCAGCTCCAGATAAAGGAAGGGTCGTCCACGCGGATGGAGGCCCGTTGCTCGTGACACTGTAACCACCACCGGAGTAGAGTTGCATGTTAGTGGCGTCACTGACGGAGATGGCGGTGATGCCCGAGTAGCTCTGCACGTATTCCAGAGTCGGAGGCGAGGGTGTGCCGGTCGTCCAGTAAGGGTCGCTCGACGACGGCGGCGGCGGCGGCTTCACGTACTGGTAGGATGGAGCCGCGCTGTAGAGTGTCACTTGCGAATTCGGCGAGCCTGGTTGCTCATAGTGCAACGGAACCGCCCGGGTTGCGGTTAGGGACGACGCTAGCGTAGGATCACCCTTCATATACGTGTTGCCAGGTGATTCCACCTATCGAGCGTGGTATCGTCGATTTGGGATGCACGAAGGATTCAAAGAAGAAAGAAGAATATTACTTTGATGTTCGACGTGCGGAGAGAAATACTGCATTCGGCTCCCGAGTTGGGGTCGCGCTGTTTGGACATCTGTTTCCAACGTTTCGCGAACATTTCAGGTCACTTCATCGGGAAGAGGAGCAATCCTCTTACTGAAGTATGACTTGGAACAATGTTCACGCGCGAAACGTGAAGTATGAAAATGAAGCGACTTGATATGTTTACAAAACATTCACGACACGTGAAGTACGAAGATGAAATAAGCTTATGCTGCAATTCTAAGCAAATATACGAGTAAATCGTAAAATCGTAGCTTACGAAAAAAAAATCGTAGATATTTACGAGTTACCACATGACATACAGTCCGTATAGAATTGCAGATCCACTCATAAGTTCTTAGGAGTCTTACGAGAACAAGTTACGAGTTTTACGATTTTATTTAGAATTGCGGTACAAATATTAGGAACAAACTGTTTCACGGAACGTCAGAAACAAATGCGAAAACTGGAAACATTATTGAATTACATAACAAACTGGAATGAATCGAGCTCAAATGGAACTGGTCTATCCAGTTTATTACATAGGATAGAGTTCGTTTAGCGCTGCTATTCTGATTTGTTTGCGGCATTATATTCGTACCGAGCGGACCCTGGCCATAATTCAATGAGAAATGCAGAACATTCCGCTACTTACCTCGGCGGGCCTCGAGCCCAGCGGTGTCGCTGGCGGATACGCCAGTATCACGGAATCGCTTGGCTTGGTGTAGCTGTAGGTCGGCGCCTGCTGGAAGCTCTCGTTACCCGACAGATACTGCGTGTACTGCACAGTCTGCGTGGGCGGAATAGCGACCGTCTCCAGGGTGGTGTACGTGTTGGAGGCCTTGATGCTTTCCGCAGCCACCGCGGCCTCAGCGTCGTACTTGACGGCGTTGGCGTCGGCGTAGCTCGTCGCCACGAGCTGCTGCGGCGGTGGTTGCTGTTGCTGTGGCTGCGACTGCTGGCCGCTGCGGATACCATCGATCGGCGGCGAATATGGCGGCGCGGGTGAGCTCAGGTGAACCGCGGATCCTGGCTGTGTCACGATCGTCGTCGTATCGTAGTCCTCCGTCGTAGCCAACACCGGTGACGTCTGGTATCTGGTGGCGTTATTGCTGCTCGTCCCGGACGCCTGGTGGTTCTCGTGAGGACTGAATCTCTGGCCGTGTCCGGCCTGCTGCGCTCGTCGATGATGATCGGGCACTTGCACGGTGATCACATGGTTCTCCCTTCGGACATCGTGGCCGTCCGAATAGCCATAAATCCTGTCCACTTCCATGCGATCGGGCGCGGGTGTGTCGTATCTTTGTGAATGAAAGAATTCGCGGTTGGATGATTCTTGAAGTGCGACACTATTTTATTCGCGATGATCCACAGCAGCTAAGGCTATTGTAAGTACTAATTTTTAGAGATGTGCGTATCAAAGATTTTTAATGTTGAATTGAATCGAATCGAATCGTTGAAAGAATTTTTAATTAACATAATCATTGAATTCAATATGAAAATAGTAATTTCAGTATGAGAGGATAGCATTGATCATGTGATATCATGTGATATTAATTCATTTTAAAGTAAAAGATATATAATATGTAGTCGCTAAACGTGTATGGAATATAATTATTATAATTATTAATAAATTTTTAATGTTGAATCGAATCGAATCGTTGAAAGAATTTTTAATTAACATAATCATTGAATTCAATATGAAAATAGTAATTTCAGTATGAGAGGATAGCATTGATCATGTGATATCATGTGATATTAATTCATTTTAAAGTAAAAGATATATAATATGTAGTCGCTAAACGTGTATGGAATATAATTATTATAATTATTAATAAATTTTTAATGTTGAATCGAATCGAATCGTTGAAAGAATTTTTAATTAACATAATCATTGAATTCAATATGAAAATAGTAATTTCAGTATGAGAGGATAGCATTGATCATGTGATATCATGTGATATTAATTCATTTTAAAGTAAAAGATATATAATACGTAGTCGCTAAACGTGTATGGAATATAATTCTAGTCTTGAAAGCTGCACAACGATACATATCGATCCGACAGTTGTCGGTAAGAGTTTATCTAAAAGCCATTATCTTCTTTTAATATTTTTGAAGAAAATCTTAATGTATAGCAAACTTTTAAAGTTATGCTAATTCCCGTAAGACTTAATGTCTGTAATAGTTCTTCGTTAATGTTAATGTGCGCAATCTTATGTATTCGAATCTTTTCGATTCGAAATTTTCGAATTATTCGGATTAGAATCATACGGATTCGAATTTGAATCGAATCGAATTTCACTTCATTCAATTCGAATTCGAATAATTTGCACATCTCTACTAATCTTCATAATCTTCATTATCTTGTCAATGTGTTAATTTTACAGATATTTATTGATTGTCAGAATAAAAAGAAAATGTTTTAGAGATATGTTTAATCAATTGCAAATATCATTTCTTGATTATATCTTTTTCATTTCGACGTATACTTTGCAGAAATCTCAGGCATACATTCCCTCGCTACTAATGTCATCGTTAAAGATGATCGTAGCGAGTATCCAGAAATCTTAAAATGTAAATATTTTATTTCCCAAAGCAAATGTCTCCATTATGTACACAATAATGCTTTTATTCTATCCCTTTTTCTTCTGTGTACACAACTAGAAAACATTCTTTTGTTATCTACTAAATGGAAAATTAGAATGTTTCGAAAGAATTTTCTTTACCTGGGTGGTTCCTTGACCGTAAGTGTAATAGTAGCGTCTTGGGTTTCAGAGACTTCAACTTGAACTTGGCCGTTGCTAGTGGCATAAAGAACGCGTTGCTGATCCGTCGCTCGTTGCTGATCGTCTACTACGCCTGCGTGAGGGATCTGAACGTAATGGCCCTGCGTTTGATGAGTTTGCTCCTCCTGATAGCCGCGCTGCTGTTCGTGTTGCTCGTTGTTCCGCTGATGAAGTCCCTGATGAAGATTTCCAGTGATCGAATTAGAATCCGGCGATTCCGGGCCTATCTCAGAGCTATCCTCGATATGACCAGCAGTGGTGATCGTTCTCACGTGCTTCCTCGTCGTGATGACGCTCTGAGGGCTCCCGGTTACCTGATCCTCTGCCCCATGCACATGCGGCGAATTGTCATCCGCGTGACTCTCCCACTCAATCTTGATCTCATGCTTCACCGCCGTCTCTTTCATCGCGTCCTGCATGAACCACAGTACGTCTAACTTAAGCAGGATGCAATTCCCTAATTGTCCATCCTTTTTTTTATTTACTGGTTTTTTAAACGCGACAGACGCAAGAGAAAGAGAGAGGGAGAGAAAGGAAGAGTGCAAGTACCGTGTGGAAATCCGCCGCGGATACAACAGAGCGACGTTATCGTCGTAATAACAGAACAACAACGTTCGAGCGAGAGACTTTCTCGGGGATGCTCGCTTGGATAAGAGAGGAGCGAGATTAGTGTCTAGGTCAGCAGTGGTTCGGGAACTTTTCCTTTCGTCCAAGTGACTTCCGCCCCGGAAGAGCAACTACATCTATCTCGTTCGCCTTATGTTAGTCATTGTACAAGTCAAAGGAATCACAAACATGTGATACTCTTTCACTTTCGTGAAGATAAAGTTCAAGAAAATAATACCGGATCATTTACGATGTTAATTACACCGATCTCGACTCCTCTCACGGTCGATGAAGACCCAAATTGATTGACTGTTCCGTTGGGGGTTGCGAGAAATATTCAGTCGACACCGGTGCGTCGGCTCGTACGTTCTGTTGAAACTGTGCCAAAAGAGACTACGTTGCTCTCTGAGAGCGACAATCGAAAGGACGGAGACTAACGGTCCTGCGGCGTCGTGATTAGTCATCCTTTGCAGAAGAATCCTTTGGGCACGCGACCGTTTCGGCTCGTGGGCGACAATACACAGCGTGAGTTTAGTGAGAAGGGTGGTGGGAGAGGGAAAGGACCGGAGACACACCTCGTCCGTCTCGGGAAAAAATGCGAGAGGCACTGTTTGCCCTGTCGCGCGTCACATTTCCGCTCGGCAATGTCAAGTTTCGACTTCCGGCGCGATCGCACGCGACGACTCTCTTTTCTTTGGCAAAGACCTCGCGCGACTTCCGCCGAATCCCGAGGTCCGGGGAGTATCTGCGGCGCGGCGCCTCAAAAATTGGAGTAACGTCGACGATGAGTCATTAACTGTGACGAAATCGACGACGAAAGCTAGTTAATGCATCTCCTAAATGGACTCGAGCAAATGTGAAAAACAATTCGAACAAATCGTTCCACACGGAGAGAATATTTTATGACTTTTTTTTTCGTAGAAATTATTTTCAATTTCACATTTCTATGTCTTCTGATCATACAGTCGACAGAGTTCATCTCGCGGGGAACATAGTAATTTTATTGACATAAACACGACTCAAAACTAACGTTTCAACAGTGGATCTCAGTTCATTAAGTTAAATACATTGCAACTCCGCATGCAAAACTCACACAGTCTTCACCTATATAGCTGCCATCATCATATTTTTGTTCGAAGGTGTGAAACTAAAGAACAACTAAATCAAGAGGAACAAGCCGACCTGTTCCTGGATTAGCAAGCCTTTCACACTAATTCACACTAATTTCACAGAAATTTCTCTCCGTATACGACGATTGAACTTACAGATACAGCCACGAAAAGTCCCGGCGCCGGTGCAACTGATGTATTAGCTAACATGCTGCTAGGCATGCGATCGCATCTCAACGACGGTATTTTCGAATCAAATCCACCCACCACTCTGTGGTTTCCGTACGCTTGAGACTTCACTCGCACAGGATGAACACTCACCGGTACTTCGTTCGCCACGTGTCGCATTTGTATCGTCGCGTCTCGCGCTGCCGTTGAATCTTTAAACGCGTTCTTGCGTGCCGCGACACCTTGGACAACGTACAACGTCGTAAACAGGGGGCAACCGCGCGCACCACGTGCGTATATATATGTGCATATATGTGTGCACTGGTAGGCAATCGGACGACCACGACCACGAGGACTTGCAGGACAGATCACCTCTGCGATGGAGAGTGAGAGAGACGCTTTACCGATGAGAAGCGCTTCTCGACTGACGACGCCAGAGATAGACGACTGGCCGAGGTGTTCCACAAAGGCACAGTAAGTGGAAGCAAGGTGGTGGAACCGTAAACCAGCTCGCTGCTGGAAGCTTTTTGTACTGTACTAAAGTCGTGACACTAAAGTACTCCCATTTTCATTTTCTCTCAATTATTGTCCTCTCCATCTGCAGACAATGTGAGAGAAACAAAATAAGAAAAAAAGGCCACGGGGAGAGGGAGAAGCATGGAGAGTCGCAATAGGTAAAACAGGTGGACAATTAGGAACAGCATCAGTTCCTATCAGCGAGGACGACCGGCCCCCGCGGTGCCGGCCCCTCGCATCTTATTGGTCAATCGACTGCGGGATTCTTGTTGCTACTAGCATTTGAGGTTATTTTTGCTTCAATTACCGTTGCTGCAACAAGAATCGACGCATTCTACGGGAAAATGTGACGCGCGCGCGCGCGCATCCGCTCGTCTCCCGCCGTAAAATGTTGTCGATTTGTTGCGCGATACTGACTAAAAAAATAAATAAATTTGTCATCGATTTATAGTTATCTCATGACGCGGTTATAATTGCTTATATATAGTTCTGAGTAACATAGCGGAGATGCTTATGTACTTTGTACTTGAACTCTCTTACGAAATCGCCCATCGACTCATACCGTTGTTTGCTCTGTGGGCTTGCGGCTTATGGCGACAAACAAGATGAGAAAATCCAACGGACACGACATGTTCGTAATTCTGTCCAGTCGGACTGGGCAAATGACACGCGGTCCGGGGGGAAAAAGGTTGCGTGGAGAGGTCCGTTTATTTGTTCGATGATAACGTCCCGGAGATAACGAGGGAATGGAGACATGTCCATGAGGCCTTGTCAGCCATCGTTGCCGGCGACCGCCATCTTGTATTGCTCTGCTTGACCGCAAAGGGATGATTCACTCGAAAAACTAACTAGACAGAAATATATAGGAGATCGAGGACACGATAGGACTGGGAAAAGAATACCAATAATATCCGCTCTAAAATCGTTAGGACAAAATGGTAGACGAAGTAGGTAGATGAAGTAGGTTTTTCTTCGAAGTACATACAACGTTTAATAGGATGTTTTCTCTTTCCAAGTAGTATGAATAAAGCATATTTGTAAAGCATATTTCAAACCCGCATTATTAATAGCTGACACTTGGAATTTCTTTTATGTGAGAGATATTCGGATTTTTATTTAGGATTTAGAGCCGAATGTTTCGAATTTGAAGGAATCCGCGAACCAACCGAATGATAAGCTAATTATTAAATCATATGTTTGTCTTCGTTTATTTTGAAAGAAAGACAAAGACATATGATTTAACTGTTAGTTAACTTCGGTTGCTGCAATTAGATTTGAGAGGTCCTTTTTCAGACATTTATGACGAGTATTGTTCTTGATCAATAAAAATTTGTCTTCTTAATTGGCAAAAATAAATCGCATACTGGATTGCAAGGCGTCGAATGAAAGTGTCTGCTTCAGTTTGTTTTTAGTTGTTTCTGTTGAAAGAGCATGGAAGAAGAATTTACTCGAACAGAGAGTCTTCGTGAGGATTTTGGATTAACAGGAAACATTGGAAAAAGTATCTCGACCACATATAATCCTGCAATCCCATTCGAGGACGAGGGATGCTTTCGCCGTCGCGAATCTCGAAGTCGTCGCTTCTCAAGAACCTTGATGGACCTTTGGACGCGCACGGAATCGCCCGGGATGGCGTACGTGACGCCGCCGTATATTTCTATATCTATATTCTGTGATCGCGACGATACCGCGTAAGCGCGCCGCTCGATAGAAATCAAAAGCACACACACGTGCGCGCACACACAACGTGAGTTACCTCTCGAAGCAATATTCCGCTGATAAGAGCGCGCTGTTACGAGCCGTGACAAAAGGAAGAGAGGAGATTGTACGTAATTACAACACACACCGCGAGTTCGGCGGAATGGATCGTAGTGCTGTCCTCTTTTATGACGATTCTTCATTGTCGCCGATCATTCATTGCGCGTCGACGAAATTCCACGTATAAATGGAAAAAATGACGAATTGTTCATTTTTCAGTTTCAGTCTCTCTCTCTCTCTCTCTCTCTCTCTCTCTCTCTCTCTCTCTCTGTTTTATTGTTTTTTATCTAATTTTTAAGATGCTTCTTATGTACGAGCAGTGGACTGCAAAACGATTTAGACACAAAATCGGAAGGTCAAAACCAAAAAGTTATTGCTGGGTGTGTGTGTGACGAGCTTGTTCAGTAATTATATTATTCATTATTATTATTAATTATATTATCCATATTATTACTTTTTAATATTCTTAATTGTATTATTATTACTATTATTGCGTAAATACGTCAGTCATGACTTTCAATCTTGACTGTTCACTAAGCTCTCAACTTGATCTAAATCGTTTTGTAACCTATTGTACATATCAATATTTTTATGACCTATTAATAACCTATTTTTCATCGAAACGTTTTAAGAGAGTATCCCAGAGCGTACAATAAACAATGCTTTTTCTTCTCTCTTTTCTGTGTTTGAAAAAATTATCAGTGCGTCATTTGTAATGTACGCACATCCTCATAATCCTTTATGTCCTCAGGTTTCCGCATTGTCTGCTCTCTGTCTGCCCGTCTTGTATTCGTTAATCCGCACGGCCGCAAATAAGAATTATCTGAAGTTATCCCTCAATAAAGTATCAATCGCGCGTAGGAGCGCCTTGATGCGTTTTCGGTGGAATCGTAAAAGCCGATCCCGTCTTTTCCTGCTTTTTGTTTTTCTTTCTCTGTTTCATTCCGTGACTCGACACCTCGATGAGGCAATTCGATGAGGCTTGACACCACCCGGAAACGCATCACGCGGGATTAAGCTCAAGATGCAGACGCACTAAACCACCTGCACACAGAGCTCCCCCGCCTGCATGGGAGAACTTCGGCGATCGTGCAATTTTACAATCGTATTATGTCGCAGAACAAGCGAGCGAGCAAACAGTACGATCGGCAAATAAGACATACTATGACGCGATACGATGCGTAATTGCGCGAAAGATTTCTCGAACGTACGCACGCACGCGATCGAATTTCTGCGAACGCGCCTCATGTGCGCACCGCCTATCCCCTTCAAAATCGCAAGAAAGAGAGAAGACGGAAGAGAAAAACTGAATTGAAAAAAACTCAAAACGCGAGCTCGGGGGTGACGTTCATAGTCATATTCAAATTTATCATCGCATATTGCGCGGCTTGTTTTATCAAGTCTGTTCTTCTCAACTCAACTAGTGCTGCATTGGAACTATATTCCTCTTCTTTTCAATTATATACTTGTTTCATTCTAAAAGTAAAACACGCAGCTTGATTCAGATAAAAAAAATAAACTTCTTATGTTTGAGAAGCATGCTTAAGAGTATCTTAAGTCCAACTTCAGATACTGAACGTTTTATCAGGCCCGTCCTTTTCAACTGAACTAATACTGCACTGAAGGTTCATTCCTTTTCAACGTTCGATTATATACCTGTTTCGTTTCAAAAGCAAACCTATTACAGCTAAGAAAACCTATTATACTTAGAATCGTCTTAGTTGAACTTCAGATGTTGCACGGAGCGCTTTATCGGCCAAGAAGCACCAGTCGAAGTCGAAATTGAGTCGATCCTGAAGACAGCTACCGAATATCGCTTGCGAGAGTCGCGCGCTTGGAGTTCCGCGCGCGAGGCCGACGTCTTCGCATCCCCCACGTGCGGCTGGTGTCCGGCGGCGATATTGATATTGCGAAATATTGCGTGTGCGTCTCCGACGGCGCAAGGTGGAGGATGGCGGAAAGAGCGACGAACTGGAGCACCACCCGGGGAGATACCGGAGAGGACCGATACATAAAGCGCGCCGTCACGTTGTACATCGCCGATGGGGAGGCGCGCGCGCGAGGTGCCGGCGCACGCTGTCAAAATAAACGGCACTATCGCGATTTATCTCGTTTCCCATGATAATAAGAGATAAAACTGCATCCTTACATTAGCTAGTATATCAGCTAAAATGATAATTTCAGTCGTCGGGTCCGCCAGGAGCGTGTAGGGCCGCCGCTCCTACTCGCCCGCACCGCGCCGAACCGTGTATGTCTCCGGCCCAGTGGCTCGAGATTCCTCGGGGTCTCGTCAAGACGAGGTCTAGCACGCGCCGTGCTTACCCGAGTCTAAGTGCATGTGTAACGGACTGTGAACGCGAGTCAGTGCAAGCCGGAATACGGAGGAATGCGGTGAATGATTGATGATGTGTTGTTTGCATTCCACGGGAAATTCCTGTGCCCCAATATGTTCGTGGAATTTTCTTCACCTGAGCGAGCTAGGCCGATCCACGATCTACGAGTCAACAAGTCGGCGGGCACGCGCGGAGTACGTGGACACGTGTTGCATCACCTCGAGAGGACCGCCGTCCCCGAGCCCGCGGCTGGTGACGTCGACGAGGTGCACACAGTGCGTTCTCGCGTGCGCGCGCGCGCACGGAAATAAAAAGGCGCGAGGAAGTGTCGCATTTTTTTCTCTCGCGCGCGATCGCGATCGCGCAAAAATCACGCGTGGCAACGGCGGCGGGATTTGCGCCGCCGAGTTGGAGCGAGACGCGCACACTCATCGAGGCCATTTTCTTTATCAGCCACGTAGAAATCCCTTATCGCCGTGCGTGAGAAAAAATGCGCATGTGTGTGCGCGTGAGAACCCGTATCGCCGAGCATCTAACGTGAAAGTGCTGTCCCGTTTTAACGCGTGACATCATGCGTCATACGAGTCCAAATAACAACCCGATACACATAGTATACGTAAAAATTTCGCCGGGGGACGGATGTGTGAGCTAATTGCAAGAATGTTTCCGGCCGATATGCGACGTCATTCGGGATCGGAGTTTCGAGAAACTCTCGAAGGCCTCGACTGCTCTATCTCGGGAGTCTCTCTCGGTGAAGTCGATTGCTGTCGCGCCATAATCCCCGCGTAAATCTACACGTGTCCCCCGCGACATGCCTACGTGTAATTTACTGCGCGTCTATTATCAGATGCGCAGGCATTCGAGAAACCTCTAAGACTCGTGGCAGATTTTGCAGCTTTCTGAACACTCATCGCTGCCCAGGAAGGTCGAAAACAGCTTCGCGTACGTCGAGTCGCGCGAATCTACGCCAAAATCCCAACGTGGCATCGCGGACAGCCCCCGACTAAATAGCGGAACGAACACGCGCTTACACGAGATGGATTACAATTCTTCGAGACGCCGCTTCACGATGATAATGTCGAGGCCGCAAGCCACCCGAGCTGGCGGCGCGCGTTAAATACCGAGGAGCCAATAAAACTTTATTACAATTCACCATCGCGCCTTGCACACAGTGCAAGCTTGTACACTGTGCGAAACAACGGCAAGCGTGGAAGTCCTTTATGGCCCAATCGGCGCGCATGTTTGAGAATGCGACGAGACACGACGCGACGCCTCGTGCCTCGCGCGAGACGATGAAGCAAGGATGAAGAGGGTTTTACGGCGCAATTACTGAAATTTACAACGAGAGGAAACTGTCTCGATTTCAACGTCAACGGGCTTAACGCCTCCCGCCACGAGCGCGCGATGTGCAAACAAATTTCTCGCTCATTGCTTTCGTCGTAAATACAGCATGCCGTTTGTCGCGAGCTCCGAACTTAGATGACGATGACTGAGGTCCGTATTAATAGGCCTCGCTTGAAACTTGTCTCACGTGAGGCGCCCAGATTTCTGAATTTCAAGTTGTTTTTCAGAGTTTCTTATGTCAACGCACGATATTTCTGACATTATATTCGTAGTCGCAATTTAACTGAAAAACTCGCACCTAACTCCAAATCTCTCTGAGTGTCTCTCTTATTGAATAAAGAATATCAGGAAGGAGCATGTTGCGATATATCGTGGGTAATTGATTGTGTTGCATTAGTTCAGTTTAATGACGTGAACTACGTCACAAATGAGTTACATAGACGAAACACAGTCTGGCGGTTATACTTTAAACATTTTAGAAGTATTATATAGCAAAGGAATATTAACTTTAAAAGAATAACAGAAAAATTATATTTATATTTTGTTAATAATGGTGAGGGAAATAAAATGAGTCACTTGTAATAATTTTCTCTTCAATACGTTCACGCACCTTTGTCTATTTGATTAATTGACAATATTACTTCATAATATTTATTTCGATTCCATACGAAAAAAAGATTTGGTTGAATTAACCAAATATCTGGTCGAATATGAACGATCCAGAAATTCCGATTGAAGTAATCCGATTTCTGTTTAAGTTAATAAGATTTTTGGTAAATTAACCAAACATGTCTGGTTATTTAACCAAATATGTCTAGTTAAATAACCAGACATGTTTGATTAATTTACCAAAAAGCTTGTTAACTTAAACAGAAATCGGATTACTTCAATCGGAATTTCTGGATCGTTCATATTCGACCAGATATTTGGTTAATTCAACCAAATCTTTTTTTTCCGTGCATAGTATCGATAGTCGCATTTGGTTCACTTTTACTACGTCACATTCTTCGCATTTCTAACAAAGGATTTTCTCTTTATGCTCCTTTCTAATATTCTTTATTCTATAGTTTCACTCGAAATAAATTTCGAGAAATGACTAATTATATATACGGGCCTAAAGATGTGGCATTTTTCGATTGTGACGAATAGGCAAGGCAGAGAAACAAAAGGAAAGAAAACAAAGATTCATAGAATGCTGAGTCCCTTTCGAAGTCCCTTTCGAGTCCCTCGGAAATATTAGGTAACGCGCAAGCACCGTCATTCTGACGACGATGATAATGACGATGACGACGACAACGACGACGAGAGTGAGAAGACAACACGCGTATTACCGCCATAGCGATGTTTGCATTTCTGCAGCGTAGCGACGACGGGATCGAAACTTTTTATTCCAATATTTGTATTTCGATCGCTCGACCGCGAATGGAACGCCGGCGGGGCCTTGAAAAAATGATTTACGTTGGGCTCGCGTTGGAAACTAAATAACCGACGACGCATTTTTTCTTGCTCTCTCTCTCTCTCTCTCTCTCTCTCTCGTTTTCTTTCTCCCTTTTCCTCTCTTTTCTGTGGACCGCATTTAACGATGATTGATTTTTACGTATCGAGGTCATTAATGACATTCCCGTTGTCTAGTGGCTGAATAATCGACCTGGAACGACGTCTCATGCATCGTCGAAACGCGACAGAATATACAAAAAAAAATTTTTTTAAACAAAATATCGCTTCTCTTTTCGACGAGTATCGTTCGGGGTTTCGTCTCGTCGCGATTTTGCACGATAACGCGCGTTAAAACATCCCGCACGACAAATTGCATGAACAAAATTGTTTCTTTTAAGTCAATGCTGGATAGTCGATGCTGCAACGCAGTTTCGTATTTTTCTCTTTTCTTCTAATTAGTTGCATCAATTTGAAAATTCACGGGGTGAAGGTACAAAGGTTAACGAATGGCTAATGCCAAAAACAGTTGTATGAAATTAACAAAAAAATTTTTATTTACCGACTGGTTAAAAAATTTTTTATCGATTTCACGCAAGTGTTTCATGCATCGGCCATTCATTGACGTTAGTGCTTTCACTCTGCGAAAGCACTTTCAATTTGATGCATCCAATTGGCAGAGAAAAGAGAAAACTACGAAACTCGATATCCAGCGTCGCCTTAAAGAATATTATTCTTTTGGGCCGAGTGTGTGTTCCGCCCCTTCGCTATTTCGACGACGGCGGCGAGCAAGCTTTCCCGAAATGAGGTTTATCACTTCCGCGCGAAATCGATGCCAGACGATCGACGATCGGCCGGGCCGAAATCATCGCCGACGGCGCGGCGTGGCGCGCCGCGCGAGAGTCAGCCGCGGCGCGCGCGAGGGACCAATAATTAACGTGCACGACAAACAGTATTATCGTCATTGCCTGATATTATTCCCATTATCTTATATGTACGGCGGCTATGTGCTTAATGATTAATAAAATATTATCTGCGCCGCGGGTGTATCTCTTCCTTACGACGGATAGTTTCGTGCCAGACGCCGCGACGAGCACCGCCGTCGTCGTCGTCGACGTGCGCCGCCGATCTCGCCGCGATCACGAGGACGCGGGCTCAACATGGAGGCACCAGTCGGCGACCCGGTGATCGAGCATTCCAGCGGCCTGGAAGAAACGGTGTGAAAAAGGCCGCGAAAAAAGCAATTCGTTTTAGCTTCTACGCGGGGGAAAGTGCAGTGAACCTGATTCGTCGTGCATGATTGTGCCGATTGTGCTACGACCGATCGATCGCCATAGTCGGAGCTGATTCGGTGGTAATAAAGCCGTACGCGACGTACACGGGGATACCGTCTCTGTCGCGCAGGATACCTCTGTGAATTCAACCCTTTCGCAAAAAGCCCGACTTTTTGCGCAACCCTGTACTTGCCGCGGCGCGGCGTCGCTCCGCAAAAAAGGCCCAGGCTTTTTGTGAAATGGCGGAACTGATAAAAATGATGCAATACGTGCGACAAATCGGGGCTGAGCCACACGGTGACAATGTTCGAAACTGCATAACCGGATGCAGACCGCAAACGCGGCCACGAGTCCGGGATCCTCTCCGTCGCGGAGCGCACGCCGTGATCAGAGCTGCTGAGAGGTGCTGTTGTGTCGTGAACGTGAGTTATCGATTTAATGTTTGCGCTATCGACAGTGCCGTTGTAATCGGGCAATCTGAACGGCGGCGTTCAGGAGGCGTTGTCTCGTCGCGCGCAAGTAGACTCGTTAAACATAAAAATAATTAATATGCCGCGTCTCGGGAGCGTCGCGAGATCTGCAAATATTTTGCGAGCACGGGCCGGTAGTTGCGTTAATGAGCTCATACGGCCGCTCCCGGCATGTAACTCGGCGTAATTTTCCACAAAGGCCCGCCGTGTGCACACGGGTATTAAAATCGCGCCAACTCCCGACTTTCAATTGATTAATTAGGGCCCGCGATCGGGCCGACGCGTTCGTGAGCGCGGCGCGAAGTGAAGAATCGCTCCCGCGCGCGAGTCGCGTCCCCGAGTGGAAGAGACCGACGAATCGGCGTGACGAATTGGACCGAGACCTTGAAGAAGAACACAAGCGAGGAAAATGATGTGAAGCGAAGGAAGACCGAGGAGAGGAGAGAGCAAGAGAGACAGACAGAGAGGGGAAGAGAGACAGACGGGTCGGTTCGGCGGAGCCCGCGTCTAGATTTCGACGTCGGGACGCGTTGACGAGTAAGAGGAGGAAACGAGCTGCGCACAAAACACAAGTGTCGAAGCGAGCCAAACATAAAACACAAGTGTTCCTTTCGTGCACGCGCCGCTCGTGTTACCACGGATGCTCATTTTCGTTCGCCGGCTCTGCCGACTTCAATCGGATAAAATCGCGTGGGTCGCCCGGGCCGATAGGATCCGAACATCTCCGGGACGACGATCGATCGATCGAACGAGCGAGCAACCGATTGAAGCGAGCGAGCATTTTCCGAGCGTTTCACGCTTTTCTATGCACCTTTATGGTATTTTAATGCTCGAGCCTTAATGGCGCTTTAATACGTCCTAATCGTTTCTCCATCTAACTCGAGCACTCGTTTCCACACGATCTTCACATTAACATCACGGAATCCATCGCAATTATGCAATCATTAACGCGCTTAATCATTAACCGGATAGACGGATTGGATTGGCTAGCTCATTCGCTTTTCCACTCGCTTGTTGACTTATCACTAAAATATATTCGTCAGAAGAGCTAATACTTCCTAATATCCGTAGTCTCCGACTTACAGAGCGGTCGACGACAAATGTGCAATATCGCATTCAAGTTGTAAGAGCGACTAGACAGTTCAAGGTGGAGGTAACATAACTCTCTCGAGGAGGATTCGACGCAGTGAAACGAGAGAGAAAACGCGGTTTTACACTTACTTCCAGTGCGACAGGAGTTGAAGAGGCGAAGAGAACGCGAGTCGAGGAAGTCCGATTGCGTGCACGTTCCTCCCAGAGAACTGGCTGATAGTTCGTCGCGACGCTCGACGCACGACGTGCCCCGATGCGTCGTCGCTCGGACGGCCGCCGCTTCTGCTGAGTTCGCGAGTGTTTGTGAGCGAGAGACACGCATGCGGCGCGCGCTTGACACAGGTGCGCTTCCACGAGGAGGAGTGCGAGGTGGCTGCTGTTGCTGGCTCTTCGTGGCCGCGGTGTTCGCCGTGATCGCCGTGGTCGCGGTGGTCGTCAGGGCTGCCGCCTGGTAGCGCGAGATCGAAGCTTCGATTTGATCAGAGAGCCTGTCAAATATTGACTGACGACGATTAGGTGACTGCTGCCGTCCGCCGCCCCGTACTCTGGGCCGCCTTCCGTCTCTGCGCCGGACGCCATTTTGAAACCTGTCGAGTGCCCCCCCGATGTCCCTCTCCTCGTTCTTCTCCCCGTTGCGAGTGGTGAATCTGACGATGGGAGGGATGGAACCATGAAATTGCCAGTCGCGTGCTTTTTTCTCGCTCCAAAGGGTGGTGGTAATGCGTGCGTGCGTGCGTGGGTGCGTAGATCCTCTGAAAAGTAAATGTTACGTGTCAGCGCATTTGAATATCATAAATTTCGATCTATACTTCAAGAGAAAAACCAACGTCCATTTTTGGATTCCGTGCTATAAAAGCCGTGACAAACAATATCTCTTGAACCGCACGTTGATTGTCCGACAGTTTAGGGATCGGAGAAAAAAAATGTATTTGCCGAACTTCGAGAGAAAAATTGAACCTACATCCGATTTTATGAGAATTCTATCCGTGGCGCGCTGGTCGGTTTATTACCTCCATCCCGGGTTATTTTCGTAGAGCTCCCTGTGACGAGGGAGATCGGTTTACCTTGTCGTACCACCACATACCTGCGCGATATATATATAGCTGCACATATATACTCAGCTCTGGATCTCTTATCACCTGGCTGAGGAAGGGGAACGAAGTTCGAGAGGGCGGAGGGTTGTCGCCATGGTTACTGAGCACACACGGGGTACCGCTGATAAGCCGCTCAGGTGAGACACCATCCTAATAAGGCAACGCTACACAATGGCGTAATGGCGTAAACAGAGTACGTAAAGAGACAATTTTTATACAATAAACGCACTCTGGTGTTGTTTAATAGCGAAACGATGCAAACGTCGTTACGCTTAATAGAATAATAATTATCACGCCAAGGATCTCTTCGATTTCAATCCAACTTGTATAATAATACGAGGCGTTTAATGACACCCTCTCCCCCGAGAATTCAAACATAATTTTTTAAAATAAAAATTGGTTGAAAAAAAGAGATTATATTTGATTAAGAATTGAAGAGAACATGTAATAATCGTGTCTAATAATAATACAGAAGTAAACAATTAAATTTACAGTTCAAATAACTGATCATTTTTACAACCGCGTAATTATAAAGATCCTGTGATTGGGGGGGCGAGGGATCTTCCATTCTACGCCTTTGCTGAGATTACTAAGAGAGCATGTGCGACTCACACAAGAGATTAGGGCGAGACATTGCATTATCGTCAAAAATACACAAGCACAAGGATGACTTTTTCTTTGGCCGTTCAGTGACTCCTCGCTTCGTCAGCTGGGTAGTGTTTTCGGGCTACGGGGACTTTACATGAAGAGTCATTTCAGATAATCCACTTTGATAAGTCTGCATCGTTAAAGGTGCATCGTTTCGCTTTTAAATAATAACTTGAAAATAAATTTTCGCGTAACAATTTCTGATGCTTATCGTAAGTAATCATAAGTTAAATACAAATAATTTGTATACAGAGTGATATAAAAAAAATTATAGAATTCAATTTTTTCAAGTCGAAAATTATTGCTCAGATGAAACAGCGAATTTTTTAGAGCACTCTGTATATAACAGGACTTTACATTTCAGGTATCTTTCATTGTTTCCAAGTTTCCAAATGTGTCTTTTTCAAAATTGTGTGCTTGACGTGAGTGTGTAAGGAGGGACGGTTCACCGAAGTTTCTCGGGTGCAATCTTAAATCCCTTTTTATTGAAAAATACCGATTTTTTTCGGTACAACACTAAAAATATATTTTGTAAAACATAACATATTTGTCGACGAGATGCAACATGTCGATGAACTTGATTCTAACTGAAGCTTACGCAGCAGACGTTATGCGGCCAAGTCTGTCGATAATTTTTCGAGCCAAAGATAATCACAATTTACGATTATTTTATAATCTTTTCCTAAACAATTTATAAGATAATTATTTTATAAAATAACGCCCATGAAAGAAAATAGTTTATAATACATACAAGAAATTCAGATAAAACTGACAGCCTCCTTCGATTCATCATTTATAGACTCTAGTATCTTATTATTTGTTATTAGTTGTGATGTCGCTAATTAGCATTACACATTTGTTTAAAAAATACATGGAATAGAAAAATGAAAATAAATGATAAACGGGGGATATCTTAATCTGCGAAGTTCATCCTAACGTTCTAAATTTCTCTTTACGACATTATTTCATATTTTTATTTCCATATGTCCACTGATAATATGCACTACTAATTAGCAGCATCACGACTAATAACAGATAATAAAATACTGGAGTCTATTATGAATTTTAATCTTAACTAAAGAGACATTCGTCTCTATTTGAAGGAGACTGTCAATTTTATCTGAATTTCTTACTACTATATGCTATAAACTGCTGCGAAGTCGATACTGCTTTTTTGAAACTTGCGATTCAAAAGTGCAGAAGGAAATTAGTTTCGTTCTAGAAAACAAAATTTAGAAGCGAAACTGTATTTAAAACGAAGCAAAACAAAAAAACTCCGTAAAAACGCCGATTAAAAACGCCGTAAAAACGCTGATTAAAAACGCCGTAGTTTAAAAATAGATGCGAAACGAAAAGAGATGAATCAAAAGTACTATTACGGGAATGAAACTTTATTTCCTTTTGATCCTAATAATTTTGGTTCCGTTTCAAGCAGAACACTTACGTTTATAAATGTTGAAAAAAAACCATTTATCAATACGTTTATTAAGCCGTCAAAATGTATCGTATAAAAACAATAAAATTAACTAAAGAATATAATTTTATTATCTACTTATGTTTCTAAAATTCTTTGCAAAAACCCTGTTTTATCAATTGTTTACAACTCGAAGAACTCGATTCAAAAGAAGAGAATAAGTAGCTAAGATTATTCGCTCTTTTTATTTTCATTAAAATAAAAATGCATTATAACACTGAGATGCAAGGGAAGATTTTGGTTAACCGGAAGTAGTAGTCGCGTCAGTTAAATAGAATTTTATTCCCGTCATATGAACAAATTGTTGCATCTCGTAATTAAAATATCATCTGTCACGTATGCGTGAATCTAGATTTTTTCTTAAAATTGCAAGAATATATTTTAAGTTCGAGAATACTCGCTTTACACTAACTTGTGTCATTGGCAATGACAATGCGACAAACGCTAATTCTCTGAGCTCGGGGTTGTGTCTTACCTCCCAATATTGTAATACATTACATTATTACATTATTACATTATATCATATCGTTACTATTACATTATTGTATTATATACATTTCCGAGCACAAGTTATCAATGGATTTTTTATTCACGTGTTTAATACATTCCTTCTAAAAAAAATCAAACACACACGAACAAGAGGCACGGTGTCGCGGATCGCACGACGAAGCGCGTCGAACGAGGAGCTCGGCGTTATGTTGTGAGGCTGCGTGACTAGCTTGCTTTCGTCAACGTGTCACTCGCGGCTTGCATAGCATCTCAGAAGGAAATTAGTTTCGTTCTAGAAAACAAAATTTAGAAGCGAAACTGTATTTAAAACGAAGCAAAACAAAAAAACTCGTGGAGTAAAAACACCGTAGTTTAAAAATAGATGCGAAAAAGATGTTTAAAAATTCTGCTTCACCAGGGTGGATACTTTGCTTGTTATCCTCCTGCGCTTGCATTCGTGCGCTTGTGCGATATCGCGTGCTGCTTAGTGCATCGCTTTGCTCCGCCGTGGGGCAGCTTCCGCCGTCTGTACCGCTGCCGTCGGACAGCGTTCCGTCGCGTTCGGCTTTAGACACTGCCTCTCGCTTGAAGCTTGCTTGTCTTGTGACCGCTTATTCATTTGTAACTGTTGTTTCATTAAACTTTCGTATTCGTGTGCGTTGAAGTGAAGTGTTTTGCATTTCCTGCCTCTGTACCTGCTCCGCTAGCGACTGTTTCCTCCGCGCGCTCGTACGCTCGGATTCCAGTGGACCACAAACGCGATCTCGCAAGCGCTTAAGAGTTATCGTAAACACACGGTGCTAATAAGCCATTCACCGTAGCATATTTAGAGATTCAGTTCAGTTTCGCGCGGGACCATTGTCCAACATAATCTTGGATTCGTCTGGACTGGTTGACGGACTGCTCAGAGTGACGATGTGTGGCGAAGTGAGCTGGTGATGATCCGGCGATTGACCGCGCGTCGCGCAAGGTGGAGAACCACCGCTCATCTTTGGCGAATGAGAATCCATCAACTGTTGATGTTGCTGTTGCTGCTGCTGCTGCGAAGTGAGCATATCGTAATAGAGGTTGTTCGTAGGCTGGTAAGACCTGGACTGCCTGGCCCGCTGGATCGCGCAGTTCGGTGGACTGCCGTAGAGTATGGTAGGCGTGTATGGTACTTGCGACACCCCGGTGTGTGCCATCCGAATATCACCGTAAGTATCTGGAACAGTAGGAAAAAGAAACAAAAGTGTAAGTTTTAAACGTCGATGCATATTGTGTATTAATTGCGTGCTGTAATGTGGAGATCAACTAAGTGTACAATTAACGGTTGTCATCCAGGATTCAGCGGATCCTGATTTGTCTTTCTATATTTTTTACTCATATTTTGTGAAATTTTTCCAAGAGAAATGTTTTTTTCAATAAAAATTACGTTTATTTCAATACAAAAATAGCTCATTTTCGTCTGTCTAAATAAATATCTTTTTTTAAACACCCAATATCCTACTATTTTTTTTCATAAAGTATCATATCTTAACCTCATTCAGTTAAATTTTCAGCTCAGAATATTAAAAATTTAAAAAATTGTGATTTTTTTCATGAAACATAAAAAGTCGCTGAAACTGGTAATTTTACGAATTTTTTATATATGAAAATATATATATTTGGACTTCTTGATACAAGCAATATATTCTACAAATATTGAAGTTTCATTCATATTTTTTTAGTGCCATTATGTCCATTTATTTGAAAGCAGTGGCATTTTGAAAAATTTGTTACAGGGTCTATCGGACCTTGTGTGACAAGTTTGTCACAGAGCGCATGTGTGACAACTTGTAAGTGTAAGGGTTAAATATATATGTATATGTGTGTACATAAATAAATAAATAAATATATATATGTGTGTGTGTATGTGTGTGTGTGTGCATACCTGGCTCGATTTTCACGCTGTTATTGTTGTTATTGTTATTGTTGTTCGTGCACTGCGTGACATTGGTGGAGAGAGGCGTGTCGCTGGTTTTCATGCTGCTACCCTTGGGCTTTCGTTTTCGCGTCTGAATGCTGTCCTTCTTCATAGTAGACGGCCTGTTGACACCATGCAGTTTGTAGTAAAGACCACAAGCGTTGCAGACCGGTTCGCCCATTGTATTGCGACGCCAAAGCGACGTCATAGTGGTCTCGCAATTGCTGCACGCGAGACCCATACGTCTCGAAGCAGACTGCGGAAATGTGAAATTTTTATTATATACGTCGCTGCACCCTTGATTGATGATAGAAAATGTCTCTCGGGAAATGAACTTGTAGCTGAAGGAAACTGTGAAAAGCGTAATGATCGATCTCTCGAAAGCATTTTATTTCAACGAGACGAAAATACCAAGAAGTCATTCGTTTTTCAGGAGTCTCTAATATTTTGACAAGTCATAACAAAAGTATCAATGCCGAAAAGATCGTCTGGCTGTTTGAAAGGTTGTGGTGTCGAGTGATCATTTGCTTTTGACGCAAGCCACTAATAATCGCCCCAATATGAGAACTGAGAGGACTGTTAGGTCGGATTACCGTGGTTAGAAATGTTTCTGTGCAAGGTACCGTAGAGACCGCGGAGTGTAGGGAAGCGAGCCACCCTCGGTCACGAAGATCACGCGAGCCTGGAAAAACTCAACACAAACAATCATTCCGCATTGATCGGAAGAGTTGCGAGCGAAACTCGACGGCGACGTACTTTTTACAACAGGCTGCACGTAATTTCGCGAGCGAGAGTGCTCGTACCATGGGTATAGTGGCACCTCGGAGCTACAACCAACACGAGGAGCAGTGCTCTCCGCTGTAATCCCATCACCGACGACGAAGGCGGCCGACGATGACCGCGTGCGTAGCGGTGATCGATCTCAGCGTTATGCAATGACATGAATCGAAGAAAGCTTGATGCAACGCGTTAACGAGAGATCGAGGGGGGAACTCGGGAGTGGAAAGTCATCGATTCTCGATCGTCGACCACACGGAGGCGGTTTCCCGGCATGGACTTTCAATGCTGACATTCTCAATTGCCATTCATTCTCCGAACCTATTGGCTTGTATATGAAAATCAATCTAAACTACTGCAATCCATGCTCGCGAAGCCGCACGAAGCGATCAACGAGGTGGTGAGATGAAGAAAGAGACAGGGAAAGAGCGATGATGGCGAGGATGATCAGATCATAAAGAGAAAGAGAGAGAAAGAGAGAAAGACAACAAAGGATGTATTTTATAAGAAGAAAAAGAAGAAACAGAGAGAGAGAGAGAGAGAGAGAGAGAGAGAGAGAGAGAGAGAGAGAGAGAGAGAGAGAGAGAGAGAGA